TACCGCTGACTAAGCGAAGTTGGACGCACCACTTGCCCACTTGCCTCTGGCCTTCTATGTAAAACGTGATAGGAAACTCGAAAGGCCACTTCCGGACCTTCCAGCAGACTGTGGACTTGGCCTTTCAGTACTATAGCAACTACGACCTTGACCCTTCAGTATTGTCGCAGCTACGACCTTGACCCTTCGGAAAAGCTACAACTACGACTTCTAGAACTCACTAAGACTCCTATCCGACAAGTCTACAGATCGAATCCCCTACAACCTACGGACTTAAAACAGCCTACCAACTGTTTGCGAATACACAGGTCACTGGTTCAAACACTCAGGGGTCAACTCGATATTGTACATGGGTAAGGTAAGGTCTGGGGATCGAATCCTAGGATCTGAATCTGCCTCTGCAAAGGTGAAAACCGTTTCACTCCCGCCGGCCTAAATTCGAGGTCCTCCGAGAATAACTCAGTCGGCAGGACCTTTACCTTTCTTATCTCTCTCGTAGGCTCTAACTATGTCGGGAGCTGTCTCTAGAAGTTCCGTTCTAGTAAACCAGTGGTCGTCCTTGGGCTCCTGATAAGCAAATCGCACCTTATATTGTTTCTGTGGACGACCTCTACCTCCTGTTCTGAACACATCTTCACCTACAATGCCGTCAATGTCATTTCTTCCGTCCATGTCTGGGGGGATCATGGATCTCCTAGATGGAAACTGTTGACTCGTGATACACGGCAACTTTGATGCATGGAATACAGGGTAGGTGTGGAGGTGTGCTGGAATCTCAATAGTGTAGGACGGTCCATCCTTGCCGCCCTTGACTTCTAGGACTGGCCACGGTCCTCTGTACGCAGGCAGTAACTTCTGCGAAATGTTCTCCTGAGGAGCAAACTCTTTTGACTTGACCCAAACTAAGTCGCCTACTTGAAACTGCGACGGGCGACCATGCTTGTTGGCTTGATCTATCATCCTATGCTGGGCCTTCTTGAGGTTCTCTACAACAGTAGCTAGTTCTTCCTTGTGCTGTATCTCAAACTCCCTAGTACCGGGCGGTAGCCTGTGAATCTGATCCCGGTTAAGTCCCTCAAACGGTCTGCGCGGTCTAAAGGACTTGTGCAGCTCGTTGGGAGTGCGACAGGTGGAGAAGTGCACGCTGTTATTGTACGCACTGACTACCTTGGGCAACATCTCGTCCCAGTTGATCTGATCCGGTTTAATGTACATTCGTAGAACTTGTTGCAGGATCTTGTTCATCTGCTTAGTCTGACCACTAGTCTCTGGATGGCGGCCAGACGACATCAACAACTTCGAGCCGTATACTTTCATTAACTCCTGCCAGTTCTGACTTGTAAACCGGGTGTGTCTATCACTAACTATAGACAATGGGACTCCATGCTCACTAACCCAAAAATAAAAAAACTTCTGAATCACTAGCTCAGTTCGAGCTTCTGCAGGTAATGGAATAAAAACAACATACTTACTAAATCTATCGACTATGACCATGATTTGGCTCTTACCATGCCTACTCTTGACACCGACGTCCATAAAATCAATGGACACTGAATCTCCGGGCTGGTCAGGAATAGGCAGGGGTCTGAGAAGACCTAGAGGGGCACGCGTAGTAGTCTTATTCCTCTGGCATACCTTGCAACTGCGAACATACTCTATGCAGTCATTCTTCATCCATGGCCAAGTGTACGCGCGCATCAGATTGGCTAAGGTCTTTTGCCAACCAAAATGTCCCTCAGTATCGTGACATTCCCCTAGGATCAGACTACGGATCTCCTCACTATTAGGGATGCACAATCGGTCAACTACATTAGTCTTCTCGAATAACAACCCCTCTGTGGTGCGGTAATCTGACTCGGTCTCTGGGGCCTCCTTTACTCTCTTAAGAAGGTCACTGTAGATAGGGTCCCGCACATACGACTCTCTGACTTTTTGTTGCAGGTCTTTCCCTATATCCACATAATGGACTATCGCTTCAAAGTAGTATGATCTCCTACTTAGAGCATCCACAACTACATTATACTTGCCCTTAACTGGCTTGAGCTCAAAGTCGTACCGGTCTATCTCCGCGGCCCACCTAGTCAACTTAGGTGTCATTTTGGCCTGTGTCTTCAGCCACTGGAGAGTCTCGTGGTCTGAATACACTTTGAAGTGCCTCCCAAGCAGGTAATGCTTCCAGTGCTCTAATGCTTGCCTGAGAGCGTAGAGTTCCCTTTCATAGGTGGATGTCGCTACCTTCTCTGAGGGCATTCTACGGGTCTATATCCATTGCCATCGTCTTGCTGTAATACAACACCTATACCATACTGGCTTGCGTAAGTGGTAACGACAAAAGGTAAGGACGGATCGACGACCTTAAGGACTGGATACTCTATCAACGCCTGCTTTAACTTCTTCATGGCAGATGTGCAGTCCATATCCCACTTCCAGATTGTTTCTTTCTTCAGCAATCTGCGAAGGGGTGCAGCGATGGTGGAGAAGGCCTAAACAAGTCGTTCATACAGCGCTGAAAAGTCGCTGGTGCGTTGGTTAGTCCAAAGGGCATGACTATAAACTCGTAGTGCCCATACCTAGTCTGAAATGCGGTCTTATACTGATCATCAGGATGGACCTCTATCTGATGACTTTCGGACTTCAAATCTATCTTCGAGAAATACTTGCATCCCTGCATCCAATCTAAAAGATCGTCTATACGGGGCAGTGGCTCTGCGTTCTTCACTATGATAGCATTGAGACCCCTATAGTCAATACAGATTCTAAGCTCTCTCTCCTTCTTGGGGACAAACAAAACTAGTGCTCCAAAAGAAGATGAACTAGGCCTAATCCAACCCTTCTCTAGGAACTCATCTAGTTGCTTGCGCAGCTCCTCCCACTCCCGTGGGGACATCCTGTACACTGTTCCTTTGGGAGTCCTACTGCCAGGCTCTATCTCGATACGATGCTGGATTGGCCGGGGTACTACTCCTGTCGGGGGCTTTGTTAAATCCTTCAACTCTTCCAGCAGCTTGGCAATAGCTGGGTCAATGGGCTTCTCCTCCTTAGACTCGGTGACAGGCCTTACGTAAGCTACGAAAACCTGCTCCTCTAATTTCTCCTTTTTCACTAGTCGAGCGAACGCAGGAGCACTGAGACAACAATCCGCCAGGGTATTGTCTACACCTGACGCATGGAACAGACGAGCAGTCTTGACCTCGCTTGTCGGACTAGGGAGCCTACACTCATGCTCTTTCAGGCGGAGTGTGGCCCCTGCTGCCTCTCCCCAGTCCATACCCAGGACTATATCAAAAGGAAGGTCGTCTTGTACGAGGAGAGTCAGGGAATGAAGAACTTTCTCCACCTTCCCATCTTTCTCTAGGCAGACATACGCCTGGACTCCCTCTACGTAGTCCTCAACACGCATAGTGCGGTTGTCTGCGAGGACACTCACTATGGGGTCTTCTAACTTCTGGACTTTCAACCCTTGCCTCGGCTCCTTCAGCGCTCTACGACTAATATAACAGCGGGTAGCCCCTGAATCTATAAGGGCTCCTACTCTACTTCTAAAAACTTCTACATCTACTAAAACTAGTTGTCCTTTACTCTCTTTCTTCATCTTGGCCCAGGTTGGGATTCTCTCCTTCAGCTCATCGGCCACGCCTGTGAGGGAGGTGCCTAAAGAGACTCTAATACAAGCAGTCTCTGGTGTGGGAGTTTCTTGCCGGCTCGCGCTCATTTCCCCACATGGCCTTATGGTAGGGGCAGTTGCTACCCCTACCGGCAGCTGCCTTTTGACTGTTGGGCAGCCCATCGGGCCTCTCTATACTTTGGACAAAATCTAATGATGTGGCCTGGTTCACCGCAAAATACACACTGCCCCTGGTCCACACGCTGTTGCCAAACGCACTGGTCCAGGCCTAAATCCTCCCAAGGTCGCCCCTGTGTCAGACCTGGGTGCCAACCACCTCTCCTATAGGGTGACCTATTACCCCTATTAGGTGAACGATTACCTAAACAATTTTGCGGGGGACCTTGACCCCTTCCTCCCGCTTGGCGGTTTCCTCCTCTACCTCCAACCCCTTGATCGCCCTGGGAATGGCCACCTGAGGCCCGGCCCCATTGGCCCTGGCCTCCACCTCTCCCTTGCGGCCTCCCTCCGGCCTCGACAGCAGCGTAAGTCCTCCCCTGGCTAGCGCTACTGTCCTCTTCTTCCTCTAGTCCCCACTCTATCTGCTCGTAGGGACTTGGTCCATACCTCCCTCATCTAGTGTAAGGATAAAATGATCCTTGGTCTTGACCTGAGATAGTACGACCCTTCCACTTTTTGCCCTTGTCCAGGTCCTTGTGCCAGACCCCATGATAAGGAACGGCGACCAACTCGTCCATTACACCCTTGAGTGCCCTGACACTCCTCCACTGACGAGAATGTATGGTTTGCAGTTTATCCGGGGCTTTAACACTACAGGTCACATCTGCAAACCGCTCTCTCGACAACTTAAGGAAGTCACTGAGGGGAGTGAACGCGGAATAAGCAACCAAATCATCGTTGCAGTTAGTGGCACGACACAGGGAACGGGCGAAGCTTGCTGCTTCCTCTCTAAGAGCGTGTATAGCTATCAGGACGTGCTCGTCCGGAGCAACATTCTGTAAGTGCACATACATTTTAATGTTGGCTTCCCAATTGTCGAAGTTCTCCTCCTTCTTCCCGCTATAGGAGTCGGGGAACTTGACCTTAACAGGCTCTCTACGAGGGGGTGCTTCTTCCCCCTTTGGCGTGGCCAACCTGGCGCCCTCTATGGTGCCGGTGCAATAACGCTCCGTGTTCTCCAGGCGGGCCATCACTTCTAAGCCCACCTACATCACTAATTCCCTTGCAAACTCCCTAAATCCCAGCCGTATCGAGCGTAGGGCAATGTCCTGACTTCTAATAAACCAGTATTGCTCTTCTTGAGCCTTTGTCAAACGCTCGATGTTCCTAGCCATGACTTCCATCTTCCCCAATAAGTCTACCTACGTTGCCATCTGGTCTCTCTGCTTCTTTACTTCTTACAATTCCTTTGCCTCCTGACTCACCGCTTCCATTCTCCTTTTTCTCTCCCTCATGAGCCTTAGCTTCCACTCCATCCTCGTCTCATCCTCCAATGCCTGCCGCGTGAGTGGGTCTTCTTCGACATCCCATTCTTTCATCGTCGCCTCCTGTTCTTCCCTGGGCACATACATCAACGCTTCTTCCTCTTCGCCCAGGGATAGATTAGCCACCCACTCTGTAATCTTTTTCTCCAACTGATCATCCTTTGTTCCACTGGATTCCCCTCTTTGCTCCCTTCTTCTCCTTTCCAATGGCTCTTCTTCTACCTCTTCCTCCTCTTCCACCGCCTTAAGCTTCTCTTCTTCTTCTTTCTTTAACCTCTCCTTCTCTCTGGCCATCTCCTCCTCAATCTTCTTTAGTTTGGTCGCCTGTTCCTCTAGCAGGGCCTTCTTCTTGGCCTCCTTCTCTCTTCTCTCTTTCAGGATGGCAGCGGCCTTCGCCTCTTGCTCTGGTGTGTAAGGGGAGGTGCTCATTCTGGTACGCGTGTCAACCATGGTGATAGACGCACAACCACAGGATGGTTCCACTCCTCACCACTTAGACTCTCCCCCTAACTGACTCAACTTAAGACTGACTCAATCTATGGACCACAGGGTTCGTAGAGAGCCCTGTCAACTATGGTCTCTAGCCTAGATTCTAATACTACAGCCGTCACTACAGGATTTGTTGCTGACTAGGAGACATTTAAGGAGATCCCCCCCCGTAACCTCTCATGAATTCTTTAATGTCGCAAACAGGACGACGTGGTCAGCAGATCCTCTCAAGACTTATACGGCCCGTTGTGCAGCCCACAACTCGGATTTTGGGCCTACCGTGCCACACCGAGCAGCCCGCCGGTCAGTACCGGTCCTTGGGAGGGTTCGTGTCCTCCGGGACAGTCGAGTCGTCAGACACAGTCTTTAGCCCTACTCAGCCCGTGTGGGTTTGGTCAACGAGGCCCTATCCTTCATACACGGAGTCCTATCACATGGACAAAAGAGACTCAATGCAGAATGAAGAGACCGACAGACTCAGACTCAGCAAGTACCATAGGGTGAGTGCACATCCATAGGGTGAGGGGATAGGCTGAGGGCTTGGCGAGATTATACCGACTCCAGCTTGGTCAAAATTGTGGTCAGCAGCTCCGGTCAACGCCTTGGTCAACGCCTTGGTCAACGTTGGGTCAACGTGGTCAAACCCCGGTCAATGCTCCGGTCAACCCTCAGGTCAACCCTCAGGTCAACGCCCGATCAACTCTTGGTCAAGGCCTCGATCAACCCTCCGGTCAACGCCCGGTCAACCCTTGGTCAACGCCCCGGTCAACCTCCAAGTCAGCTATGGCTGCCGACACCTTCTTCCTCGCCAACCTCCACTTCTCTTTCCCCCTCCTTCACCTTTCTTCTTTCTCCTTTTTTTTTTTTTTTTCACCCTCGGCTATGTCTGTCTTCAACTTCGTTGTATCTCCTTCCTCTCCGGTCTCTCCTCCCTTCTCCACTTCTCCTTCCTTCGTTAACCCCATGTCCGAGCTCTGCGGCTATGGCCGCTACTTCCTCTTGGACCGCACAACCAATCTCGTATCACCCAACTCTCGCTCTCCCGAGTGATAACTCAGCGCAGGTGTGTAGCAAACCAATCTTGTACCTCTCAGCTGTGTGTGTGTGTGTGTGTGTGTGTGTGTGTGTGTGTGTGTCTTCTTCGTCGTTGTCTTCCTGGCAGGTACGCGGCACCTCCTTCCGCAGCGGAGCTATGCCGGACTGCTTCTTCACGGTGGCGCTCTTCAACTGTGGGGCCCTACGGCGCGCGTCTCCCTCCTGCTACAACGGCGATAGCGCATGGGGTAGTGGGTACCAGCTCTAATACCAGTGCAATCAGACTCGCATTCATTCACACTTCACATGTATGCAAACAGGTTGCGCAGCAAACTGGCATCAAGCGCCCACTCATAACTCAGAGATATAGTACCAAGAACTTAGTTCAGATACAAGTTCACTTCCACTGGCTATGGCGGCTCATCGCCTGTACAACTCTCTGTCGTCACTNTAGTACCAAGAACTTAGTTCAGATACAAGTTCACTTCCACTGGCTATGGCGGCTCATCGCCTGTACAACTCTCTGTCGTCACTCACTCAACACTGTTGTTCGCACACACTCACTAGGATCACCCTGGATACCCCACACGCATCACTCTGCACACTCACACACACCCGCACACACCTACAGCTATGGGAGATATGGCCGCTGCTACTCTCGCTATGGCTAACTTCCTTCTCGCCCGCTTCGTCCTCGGGCTCACTGCAGACCACCTCGCACAAGTCGCTATGGCAGCACTTCCGCATGGCTCACGCAGGAATGAGTGAATGGCGCTGCCTCTTGATTTATACTTATGTAACTCGTTGGTCTGCCTCTTTCCACCGGGCCCATGGTGCACACAGTCCCCCTTGGTACTTGTTGACTATGCAAAGTGAGACTGGGACTGGGTACCGCTGACTAAGCGAAGTTGGACGCACCACTTGCCCGCTTGCCTCTGGCCTTCTGTGTAAAATGTGATAGGAAACTCGAAAGGCCACTTCCGGACCTTCCAGAAGACTGTGGACTTGGCCTTTCAGTACGGTAGCAGCTACGACCTTGACCCTTCAGGACTGTAGCAGCTACGACCTTGACCCTTTGGAGGAGCGACAACTACGACTTCTAGAACTCACTAAGACCTAAAACAGCCTACCAACTGTTTGCGAATACACAGGTCACGGGTTCAAACACTCAGGGGTCAACTCGACATTGTACATGGGTAAGGTAAGGTCTGGGGATCGAACCCCGGGATCTGAATCTGTCTCTGCAAAGGTGAAAACTGTTTCAGAAGCAGCAATGAAAAACGAAATTAAAAAAAATCACGGCTATGGCTAACGGAGGAGGAGGAGAAGAAGAGGAGGAGGAGGAGGAGGGAGAAGAAGAAGAAAATGATGAAGAAGAGGGAGGGGAACAACAAGAGGAGGAGGAGGAGGAGGAAGAAGAAAAAAATGACAAAGAAGAGGGGAGAGAAGAAGAGGAGGAGGAGGGAGAAGAAGAAGAAGAATGCAAGGGAGTTGGAAGGCTTGAAGCAGCAACGAAAAAATAAAAATAAAAATTAACGGCTATGGCTAACGGAGGAGGAGGAGAAGAAAAGGAGGAGGAGGAGGGAGAAGAAGAAAACGATGACGAAGAAGACAGAGGAGGAGGAAGAGGAAGAAGAAAATGACGAAGAAGACGGGAGAGAAGAAAAGGAGGAGGAGGAGGAGGAGGAGGAGGAGGAGGAGGAGGAAGAAGAAGAACGCAAGCCGATGGCTAAGAGAGGAGGAGGACTAGAAGAGGAGGAGGAGGTAGAAGAAGAAGAAGAAGAAGAAGAAGAAGAAGAAGAAGAAGAAGAAGTAGAGGACGGTTATGGCGAACGGGCGAGGAGAGTGACCACAGAGAAGAAGTAGAAAAAGAAGAAACAAACCTGGGGGAGTGATGGAGTGGCTCGTCGGCGGGGGGCACAATGGCGCGGCTGGCGAGCGAAGCTGGCGATGACGATGATGCACCCCGCGGAGACCTACCTACGATGGCGCTACTGCACCGAGTGATGGCGAGGCTGCCTGGCGGTGGCGACAATGGCGCGACTGGGTGTCCGAGGCGACGACGGAGCGTCTGCACAGACTGGAGGTGAGCGGGGTTGAACGCGCGATGCGTTTTCCCCCACTGCGCGATTCAGTTTCCCGCCAGAAGCGATTCAAAACAATGGTCGATCTTTGCCACTGATCTGCGACGATCGGCGGTCAAGATTGACCACTTTTTGAACTTCGAAAATTGGGGCCTACAGAACCGGCTTCGTAATTGCAGGGCAGGGCCTGACCCCACGAGGCCTCCACAACACAATCGCGCCGTCAAAAAAAAAAAAATTCAACCCCCGACGAAAATGCGCAGGGGGCGACCAGGAGGGAACCGGCCTGGGCTACCGGGCGGTCCAACCGGGAGGACCGCAAATGGGGAAGGGCCCGTAGGGATCCCTGGTCCATCCGGGGACCAGCCTTGGTTTAATATCCTTTTGCATGCCTAAGAATCATATCTGCGCTCCGACACCTTCCAATTTCGCGGTCATTTCTGTTTGGATTTGTTGTTGTACTACACTTTCCGCGAATTCGAGTCCTAGCCTCGCCCCCTCCATCTTGAATGAGCAGCGTCCTCTCCAAAGTGCCCAGAGCACCGCCCTTCATCCCAATTTGAACATGTTACTGGTGAAATCGTTGAGCTGGTTTGTTTGACCCTTGGGCCAGGCTTCACAAAGCAAGGCCTTCCACTCCCAAGGCCATGGGGTCTTTGTTCCTAGTTGATCCCAAACTCTATCCCACCATCTCCACAACCAGAGTGCTCCCGGGCACTGTAGGAATATGTGTTCAATCGTTTCGGGTCGTTTCCTGGATGGGAACGCGTTTGTGCATAGCTTGCACCATGGGAGAGCACACCCTCTTTGCTCAAGGGACGTTTTATCTATCAGCCAGTTGTTTGTTGGTAGGCATCGGTGCTCAAGCTGCCATTGGAGTGAGGCCAGCTTAGCCGGTTTTGCCTTAGCAATCCTAAACCATCTTATTGGTCTCAACTCCTCTTTGCTGACGTTCAGGTGGCCCCTCCAATGCTCCTCCACCTAATCTCGAAGATTAGTTTTGGGTCTTAGGAGTCTGTAGGTTGATTTGACTGTTAGACCATATAATGATTTGATGCGTCTCCTGCCCTTCCCCATTTAGGTCGTCCCTGCCCATTCCAACGGGTCCAGTGCTACGTGATGAACCGGGATGTTGGGGAAATAGGCTATCCATTGTCCTTTTTCAAGTACCACTCTGATTCTAAACAGTTCCTCTCTTGGCAGATTATTGTTTCCTCCGGAGTTGTCCCGCCCTACTTGGAAGAGACTCACTACTACTGTTCCTTCCGGCATGCAGCAGACTACAATGCCCACTTATCCTTGTCACTCCTGGAATGCCACCCAATTCGACTCTTGCAGGGTGGGACCTTTGCGGAGGATTCTCCACCAGGTTAGGGGGATCTTTTCTACAACATCTTCAAGCCCTTCAGGGCTTCGTTGGGTCGGTGACAATACCTCAGTCTCTCTCGTAGTTGACCGGGACCTATCCATCCCTTCTTGTTTGTGTCCCATATGTCCTTTATCCTTTTTATCCCTCGCTTGACCCAACCCTGCCAAGGGGACTCCATAAAATGGAGCATCTGGCACCTCGAGTCCACAATCCATCTATTACCAAAGAGCGGTTGACGTTCCACCTCCTCTCATCTTTCAGGCGAGGATTTGTCTGGCAAGGGGAGGTTTCTCCATGTTTTGAGGAGGGTGGGCCAGAAGGGTCGTAAATCCACCCATGTTTCTTGTCTAGGGGGTCAGGGTGGGGGATGAGCCATCCCCTGTTTTCCAACCATATTAGCGGGTCGGTCCCTTCCGCCGCTTCCGGTGTTTGTGGTGCTAACCGAGAAATTTGTTTTAGGGCTAACGCTCTCCAGGGGCTACAGGTTTGAACAATAGGCGTTTGAGCCACTGTATTGCAATTGCTTTAGTTTGTGTTCCGGGGTCAATGATGCCCAAGCCTTCTTTTAATTTGGGTTGGATTATGG